TCAAACAGAAATTTAGTAACTACATAATAGGAAAGAAGTAATTATTTTCTATTTTTTTTTTAATAGATTCCCCTTTTATTCTAAAGCTGACCTGACTTCTGATTTTCAGTGAAGAAGCCAGAAATGCAAATACACTAACATAGAATGTGGGACAAAAAAAAGAATGGGCATAATTAAGAGAAGAAGGAAAAATTCTTAGTGAAATGTGAGAGAAACACACAAGCCTGATTCTCACAATGCAGTTGATGCATAGTTAAGCCTGGACTTTTCAGCTATTGTACTGCTTCCTATAGTACTGGTGGATTAGTTGTATGAAATGGAGTCTCATTAACTGTATGAAATAGAGACTCATCTGGAGTAATGCATCCAGGCCTGGAGCCCCCAGTACAAGAAAGAGGCAGAGTTCTTGGAACGAGTCCAGAGGAGGACCACTAAGAAGATCAGAGCGCTGGAGCACCTCCACTATGAGGAAAGGTTGAGGGAACTGGGCTTCTTTAGTCTAGAGGAGAGAAGGCTCCGGGGAGAACTCACTGTGGCCTTCCAATATTTGAAGGAAACATATAAACAGGAGGGTGGAATGGCTGCTTATGTGGGTGCATATTGATAGGACAAAGGGGAAATGGTTTTAAACTGAGACAGGGGAGGTTTAGGTTAGATATTAGGAGGAAGTTTTTCACTCAGAGGGTGGTGACACACTGGAACAGGTTGCCCAAGGAGGCTGTGGATGCCCCATCCCTGGAGGCATTCAAGACCAGGCTGGATGTGGCTCTGGGCAGCCTGGTCTGGTGGTTGGCAACCCTGCACATAGCAGGGGAGATGAAACTGGATGATCATTGCAGTCCTTTTCAACCCAGACCATTCTATGATTCTATGAAATAACATTACAAAGTTTTTAAAATATCAATTACATGTAGAAGAGATTATTCTTTTACAATCATTGTCTCAAAGCTTGCTGGGGACACAGATGGACAAGTCCAAGCAAGTCCTGGGCAAGGGTTGTGAAATTTTTTGTCTGAGGGACTCAAATGGACAAGGCCAGGAGCAACGAGGGAGAGATAAGCTGCAGCTTAATGGCCAGAAGCGGTCTGCTGTGTGGACTTATCTCGAAGAAGATGGCCATCTCCGGAAGTGCTGAATGTGACTCTTACACAAGTGCCTAGGAATGCCACGATGGCAGAAGAAGGATAAAAAGAAGAGCTACAATCATGATGTTTAAGTTTTCTGGCAACAGATTCCTCATGAAGAAGAAGAGGTTTCTGCCATGAGAAGCCTCACGACCTGCCTCTTCCTCCTGGACTTGATCTGCACTCAAACAGAAAATTTTGTGTGCTAATTTCAGAGAAGCACTTTAGAAACACAATTGGAAAGAAGTGACACATAAGCAGAGTTTTCCATCTCTCTTAGTGATTTTCATTCTTTGATTCAAAAAGAATTTTGCTGTGCTCTTTAAAGATCCCTTGCAGAACGTATTATGGCTCATTGTAGAAAGAGTTGTTGAGGACATCACGGTCCTTGACACAAAAATACGAATCACTAGAATTGTCTTCAGCTATATAAGCTGTATCTGTTATACAAAACTACGGATATGTCATTTTATCTATCTAGATCTTTGGTTTAGTTCCTTTTTTTCTATGCCGTCCTGCTAAACTGGAAATCTAATGGTAAGAAATTATCTCTAATTTCATGCAGGTAGGGAAATGGGACCTTTTCTCTCTTCCTAGTCATTTATGCAATAGAAATACAGACTATCATAATTTTTTAATTAAAAATGTTCAATATTTTTATTTTGTCTGTGTCAGAACAAATGAAAAAAAAGGCCAGGTAAGTGAACTGGGGAAACACTTCATTAGCTTTAGAGAAATCATTTATAAGGTTTCAGAAAATAATCTGAGAAGCATAAAAAGTCCTCTGCAACTGCAAAATGTAGATGCGCTTTCTCCAAAATAGAAGCACACGTTCTGAAGTTCTGAAGAAATCTGACATGTAGCAGATTGTCATGTTATTGCTCTCCATGCTCCTGTGTGGCTCTAAGACTCACAATTTTGGGATGAACAGCAGCACCAGCATCAAGCCTTGTGTCTGGGCTTGTACTACAGAAAGGATAAGATGACTGAAAAGCTAGAGATTTTTCTTACCATTTGTGTAGTCTTTTCCACTGCTGTTAATAGAATGGAAAAGGGTAAGCAAAGAAAAACTTAGGGCAAAGGTATTGATGTTTGTGTTTGGTCTTTCATAGCTTGGGATTTCAGGAAGATGAGGTATGCTAAAGGTGTGTATAGAGGAAGAATCTCACTCAGAGATAACCAAAAGCATTTCTCACTATAGTGGTTATATGATATTAAGGAGTTAGGGTGTTCTTTCACTATCCTGACAGCAAAATCCGAAAAAGAGCTAAAATTATCTTGGTACACTTGAGTTACGGCAGATTTTTGAGAGTAAGTGGATGGGTACTGACTCAGGCCGAAGATACTGCTTGTCTCACTGAGGAATCAAAGGAATGAATCAAAGCAATTATGACCTTGCTCAAATTGATGCCTTTTTCCAGTGCTTAAACTCAGCCATGCCAATTGGCACTACTACAGAAACCAAGTGAAATGTTTCTATCAACACCAAATATCTCTACTATCAACCAGATAATGTGTAGTCCTGTGTGGGGGAGCATGGCTAAGGAAGAGAAACATAGCATTATTGAGAAAGCCTCAGAAGGGAAAACTCAAAACTTGTTGTGGGCAATCCAAGTAAATTAGATGTAAGTACCTGAGGGTAGGCATCTCCTGAATTTAACACTTATCCTACCATCCCTTTCTAGAAAATATCAAAAAATCAGCCTCACTACAGAAACATAAAAATCTGAAAGGAAAACTATATAATAAAAAATGCACATGCTGGCTTGTGCACAGTTCTGGAGTTTGGATTTCAGATACATTGTTGTGATCCAGAAAGGAATGTTCCATGAAGACAGACCTCAAATACAGAGTGGGTACAGCTTCTGCCATGAATCAAGGCACGTGGAGAGGTGAAAATTCAGAATAGCTTATTTCTTAGGTAAAATTAATCCTATCCAAATTAGTCAGTAGTCAAATGAATGACTTTCTAAATGTGTTTGTATGACTGGCTAAGACACAGGAACATTGTAAATTAGGTATAACTCCTACCCTTGACTATCTCAGAACAGTTAATGGAAAGAGGACTCCGTCAGCTTTCAGGCTTACCCTGCAGAGGCATTAGCCAGATTCACAGTGTCTGACTCACCCCGTTGAGGACAAGCACTGCTTTTTTTATGGCTTGTCATAATGCACTAAGTGCTTATTTTAGGTAGGTAAAATCCAGACCTCTATGAAGCCAGAGGAGGTCAACACCTAGTTCCATTAAAATCAATATCCAGTCCAGTTCTGAATGATCTGAACAAAGAGCACAAGGTTACGCTCAAAAAGAATTGACTATGCAGGTGATAATCGAGAAAAAAAAAGGAAAAAAAAAAAAGAAGAGTAGCTTCAGGAAGGAAATAAAATGCATGTCTGAGATCAGTGAGTTCTGACTGTGTGTCAAATTACTTTGTTGCCTGTGCAACTGAGTGCATGCTCAGTGCATATACCTATGTAGGATGGTGGATGTATTCTGGACTCCTGGTAATACAGCATATTTTTTCTAATTCACACTTGCATGCTGTGTGAAAGAAATTATATGCATATAAATCCACACACAATAAAGCTGAGGGGATAAATATTTTTCTAAATATACTTTGAAAGACACTCAAATGGGTGTTCTGTTTTACTGCAACATAGGCTGAACCTGGGGAGATTTTCATCATAACTATAGAAAGCATGTGTTAAAATATAATGGCATCACTGACACAAAAAATGGGCAAATGAACATCATAGCAATACAACATCATCTATTTTTCTCCTGGCAACAGTGACAGAAAAAGTCCTTTCTAAATCAGCCATACGATTAATTCTCAGTTTCTCTATCTTTCGCCTTTAAAAGAAAATGTGATGCTTATATGTCTGTGAGGATTACTTTACATGCTTTTGTATCACAAATGGCATTTTTTAATTCTGTGATTTCAGCAGCAGATGCATCAGGATCCAGTGTGAGCAGCGCTGTGCGGGCCCCGCTGCCAGCAGATGGCAATCCTGTCTTGCAGGTTCTGCACTGCCAGTGGGCAGCGAACCTGGCCCCCCAGCCGTGGGATCACTGAGGAGTGGATAGGTGACCCTAAATTACTCTCCCATCGCTTTACAAAATGCTCCTTTCAAGGAATTATTTTATTATTTTCCAGTATTTAAGACCTCATTCAAGCACTGGGTAAAGACAGGTCTATATGCTGGAGCACATACTGCTCAGTGCAAGCTATCTGTGTGGAACAGTGCTTTCTTTACATAACAGCAGCTTTCTGTGAATAACTCATGGAAGATCCTGGCCTTCCTTCTCAGTTCAACAGCACCTATATCCTGCTGTTCTCCATGTTCATACACAACCTCCTAAGGTAATAAAACTATCAGCTTAAATATAAACAACAATCAGTAGAAAGCGTTTTATAGCTAGAAATACATGGTCTTGTGAATTGCAAGTAATACAAGATTCAAATAAGCTTTTTCTTTTTTTCTTTGTTTTTTTTTTTTTTTTTTTTTCTCAAACACGATCAGTTTTTCCCCCTTAAGGTGCAGAAGGAGGGCACCATGATGATACAACAGCACTGTGCTGCTCTATCAGACCAAAGGCCCCAGCGTGGGACACATCAGGCAGGGAGGTGCTGCCCACAGCCCTGTGCAGGGAAAGGGGCTCAGAGCTCAGACACTGGCTGCTGTGATAAGAATCTTACAGGAAGGCAAACAGAGTGTGCATGTGAACCTACAGATGTCAGCCCATGAAGATAAACCAAAGGGAAGAGTAGGCAATCTCATTTCCACTGAGAAAATAAACAAAAAGCAATGCACAGTGTTATCTCATTTGGAATTTCAGTAATGTGCTTACAGAGACATTAAAAGGAGTGTTACCTGTTCTAAGAGATTCTGCAGCCTCTCTATTTCACAGTCTATTACGAATTTCTTTTCTTGTCTTCGGTCCAGGTCTTCTAAAAGCCGCCTGTAGCTGGCATCATTGAAATTCTCCACGCAGATGGCACTGACTTGCCAGCTATTTTGTCCTGCTTTTTCCATAATAGCTTGAAGTATTGAATAACCTAAAAGAAAAGGATACAATATACTAGTAACACAACAGTTGTTTTTTATTATTATTAAATAGGAATTGTTCTTAAACAATATGATGTCTGTTAATATTGGCTCCTGCAGGGAGAGGAATAAGATGAAGTCTGTATCCCTACCTATGTTATTAGCCATGATCAGAGCACATTATGTAATTAATGACAATTACAATTGCTATAATCAGAACACTTGGAATGATGCTCAGTATTTTGGATAAGCCACATTTGATTTATACATATAAATTCATCCTGTCGACCATTCAATTTCCCAGACTGGTTTCATACAAACTTATATATCCACACCTTTCTCATGATACCACAAAGAAAATACCAGAGTCCACTCATTCACCAGAAAGATCTGTATACTAAAAAAGCAGAGTATTAGACTCTGAGATGCTTTGTTGTTTGTTGTCAGTGGACTTTTTGTTTTTTGAAAACATTTAAGCCAAGAGACTTTTGATGCTTCTCAATAAGAATTTACTGTCTCTTGCTTTTATACATAGGAGCAGAAAGGTGTGTAACTGAATTCTTTCATGCAGAAAAAAAACCAGCACCCATTGGCATTCATCAGCTCTTGCTGAATGTTTCTGGAGAGCAAACAGTGGCTGTGAGCACAATGAGGCAGGAACGGTGAGTTTCAGCAGTGGTCATAAGGACACCTGCACTGATGCAGATTGTTATGAGTGCAGCATGCAGGCTCTTGTTCATTGCTGGTGAAAATGCACAGCTAACGGCAGTGACTGCGTTAAGAAGTAGTGCTTTGCAGCTGACAATTTGCTCTATCAAACAGTGTTACTGTACTCTTTGTATCTGCTGTGGTGTTCATGGAAAAATAATAAGAAGGCATTTATTTCAGAGTAACTTCCGTATTTATGCCAGTAAAGATATGTGTGAATAAAAATCACACTGATCTATTTCAGTGATCCTATATAGCTTTAATCGATGCACGCAAAGTGACTAGAGGTCAACAAATGAAGGGCACCACGGAGGCATTAATTGTTACTACTGCTATTTGTCATTACTATTTGATGCCCCCACTGTCATCTGTGAGTCCATTCACAGGCAACGAAGGCAGCACCTGCGCCCAGGTCTCTGCCTGAGCCCACAGGGCAGGCTCCCTGCCCATGACCTCCTGCCACTCCCCTCAATCCTAATTTTTCTCACTAGAGACATGCAGCACAGAGGCAGGAGAAGAGCTTGAGCCTACACAGGACACCTTGCACATCTTGCCCTGACTTGCCCAAGCATTTCCTGAAGTTGGAAGCAGGTACTATCCCATTTTTTATCTAAATGGGGAATTAGTATAAAGCAAAGAAAGTTTCACATCTCAGATCCAGAACTAATGTTTAAGAAAAACAAGGACGGGAATGTTTGTTGACAACACATTGATAGAAATGATACAATCAAAGAAAATGCCTCTGTCCAGAATCAAAACACACAAAATTTTAATTGCTATCTGGTTTTTCCCACTATCTTCGAAAGATTTCACCTCTTCAAACTCTCATGCGATGACATGGATACACTTGGTGCCTTCCTTCTCTCTTTCACAGGATGATCCCATGCACAGGCACAGGGATCCCCAGCTGTTATTGCAATGCACTTGGAGGCATCACTGCATGGCAGGCTCCCCGTGAAAGATATTGACTGAGAATCCCACAGATTGCAATATGGGCCTTGTAAGTTACAGAAAGAGTATTGTGAGTGTGCAGTTGTTAACTGATAAAGTAGACCAACAAAACTACCAAACACCAGGCTTGCTACCCAGTAAAATAAAATCAGATGCTCATTTTTTTTTTTTAATCAGAATATGCAGATTTTAGGACATATAATACTAATTCTATTGCAAATTAGGAGTAGTTATTTTCTCACTGGCTTCTATGGCAATTACAGTCCTCGAAGTGTTAACTTAAAATCTGTATCTTCTTGTTATTTAAGATAAATGTGGTGGTGAATGGAGTTAAATCCAGCTGGCGACCGGTCGTGAGTGGTGTTCCGCAGGGGTCGGTGCTGGGGCCTGTCCTCTTCAATATCTTTATTGATGACCTGGATGAGGGCATCGAGTGCACCCTCAGTAAATTCGCAGATGACACCAAATTGGCTGGAAGTGTGGATCTGCCTGGGGGTAGCGAGGCCCTACAGAGGGATCTGGACAGGCTGGAGAGCTGGGCTGGAGCCAATGGGATGAGTTTCAACAAGGCCAAATGCCGGGTCCTGCACTTCGGCCACAACAACCCCAGGCGACGCTACAGGCTTGGGGCGGTGTGGCTGGAGGACTGCGTAGAGGAAATGGACCTGGGGGTATTGATTGATGCTCGGCTGAACATGAGCCGACAGTGTGCCCAGGTGGCCAAGAAGGCCAATGGCATCCTGGCTTGCATCAGAAACAGCGTTGCAAGCAGGAGCAGAGAGGTGATTGTTCCCCTATATTCAGCACTCGTGAGGCCGCACCTGGAGTACTGTGTCCAGTTTTGGGCCCCTCACTGCAAGAAAGATATTGAGGCCCTGGAACGTGTTCAAAGAAGGGCAACAAAGCTGGTGAGGGGTCTGGAACACAGGCCATATGAGGAGAGGCTGAAGGAGCTGGGAATGTTCAGCCTGGAGAAGAGGAGGCTCAGGGGAGACCTTATTGCTCTCTATAACTTCCTGAAGGGAGGTTGTAGTGAGCTGGGGGTCGGCCTCTTCTCTCGTGTCATTAGTGATAGGACCAGGGGGAATGGTTTCAAGCTACGGCAGAGGAGATTCAGGCTGGACATGAGGAAGTATTACTTTTCAGAAAGGGTGGTCAGGCACTGGAATGGACTGCCCAGAGAGGTGGTGGAATCACCGACCCTGGGGGTGTTCAAGGAAAGACTGGATGTTGCGTTGAGGGACATGGTTTAGTAGGAGCTATTGGGAATAGGTGAACGGTTGGACTGGGTGATCTTTTAGGTCTTTTCCAACCTTAGTGATTCTATGATTCTATGATTCTATGATTCTATAAAAATGCAAACGCCTATAATGAAAACACAAATTGTGTAATTTATTTTATCTTATAAATCAGACATTCAATTTACAAAAAAAATGTTTTACCTTAGGAAATGCATTCAAATACTTCATGCATTGACTGATAAAGCATTTCTGTACTCAGCATATATTTTTAACCTGATGACTGCTATTTTTTTCGAAGAACCATGCAGTTTTCCTGTTAATTGCTACATAATTATTCTGCTTTTCCTGTTGCTATATTCAATCTCCTTTTTGTCTGTAATTATCTCTGCAAATCATGATGTGATTCTTTCCCAAACATTGTATTTCTTGCTTCATTTCCTATTCATTTCCATATATAGATGTACATTAAGACTACTCCAGTGTTATAGGGGTTCCTGCTTCATTTACACTGTAGCTTTGACTTGGTCTTTGCTACAAAGACAGTCAACATTTACGTAATTCAGCTTCCTGACACAAATTAACATTTTCTTTGATTCAGAATGAATGGTGTTTGAAAGAGCAATTGACATCCCCTCATTCCCCCCTTAATTCATTTTGACAACTTTACTGAGATGTGTTTTGATCAAACTGGGAGTTTATCCCAGCGTAAAGCATGACAAATATCAGGCAAACACAAAGAAAAGCTTTTCTTCTACCTTGGATCAAGGTTTGACTTGCCATCTTTCATTAGTAACTGCCTCCATTTAGGCATTTTGGGCTTCTACAGCTTCTCATCAGTAGCTGGCACTCAGACATGGGTTTTCACGTTAGTATATCTTTCATGTAGAGCATAAAACAGGTCATCTGACTAACTGGATATAGCACACATCTCCACAAGATGTGAGGGATTCCAGTGCAGGTAATTCTTAGCACAGTTATATATTCAGTGCACAAGAAGAAATTTTAATAAAACAGCCTGACAAGGATGGAGTTTGTGCAGAATGAATAAAGGCAATGGGTCAGATAGGTCAGATGGCATCAAAATTACATATGCAGAGGAAAATCGCTATTTGTTAAAATAATTGGCAACGGCCAAGAGGAAAAAAAAAAGTTTTATGTGATGTTGTAAATATCTTATACAGCAAAAAAACTGAAACTACCCCACAATAATACTATCAATACAGAAACTAAGTGCAGTGCTTCTGCTTAGACAAAATTCTTAGACTTCAGAGATGAGTTTGCCCAAGCAAAGACATCAGACATGAATCGTACAGCTGTGCTCCGAAAAGTATTTGTTTTCTGGTTATCTGCTGTTTATCCTCAGTTATGTCATAGACAGATAAGTGATTCATTTTCTGGATGTTTAGTGATTTGTGTAAATTTCATTCCATGTATTGTGGAATATTACTGCCTTCACAAAAGCAAACTAAAAAAGAAGCTAACTCCTGTCATCTGAGCAACACAGTCAATGTTTTTTTATTTAAACCATTATTTTACAAAATGCTTAGGTCCACACCAAGAAACAAAAGAAACGGAAGTTGTTAGATACATATATAATAACCTTTCCTCACCAATTCAACCTTTAAATCCAGTTAAATCATTAGGAAAAAATGCAAATTACTTGATCCAGACATAACTGGTTGAAGACTGGGGGTCTTTATCAACAGAATACCTGCCCTTCCAGCAGTTTGATTATTTAAATTAGGAAATCTGAACAAAAAAAAGTATCACTGAAATTGCTTGGAAACACTGTTGAAGTCTTTCTTAAATGCAAAGATTGTATATGCAAGAATATCTTCTTTTTTTTTTTACAGGACTGTGATCCTATGGAATTTTCCTCTAATGACCTGCAAGGAGAAGTCTGCCAACTGCTTTTGTGGGTCACTGCTCAAATGCAGACTCTATTGACAACTGCTCAATGTTCAGCAATAGCAGCTCCACTTCACTACCCTGGAATCAAACCTGAGACAGGAAAAGTCTGCAGTGAACAGGGATATCAGCAGCTCAATCAGGTTGCTCAGAGCCCTGACCAGCCTGACCTTGAGTGTCTCCAGGGATGAGGCATCCTCTCT